TGTTTTATACCAATACTTTTTATTTATTCTAGGTCTCTTCCCTTCATTACAATACTTGTTAATCATTCCTTGCCAAAATTTCAAATCCTCCTCTGTTAACTGTACAGGAAACATTCTAAATAAAAAAAAATACTTTTTGGTAAAATGTTCATTTTTATCAATGCAATCCTTCCAAACCAAGAAAGTTTAAAATTACTATATTCCTGTAATTTCCTTTTAATTACTTCCTTTAATTTATTATAATTATGGTCCTTCATTTTTTGAATATTTAATCACAGTTTTATAAAATTCTCCTTGATTCACCTACATCTAATTTCCTATCCCGAACTTCCTTCCCTACATGTACACTCTTTTCCTCCCACCCATTTCCCCGCATCTCACTAAAGTCTGAATCAAGCTCTGGGAGGGAGACGCCACCCACACCAGCTTGGGCCCCAGCCAAATCTTCTTCATCTCTGTTTCACCCCACCTTATATATTTATCTCTCTCTATATATATTTTAATGCCCTCCCTTCTTTCATTTAACATTTTTATATTTATATCGTTAACTATTCTCCTTTCTACAACCCCAACCCAAACAAACAATCCAAAACAATAACACAAAAAACCTCAAACAAAATAACAAACAACAAAAAAGACACACACAAAAAAAAAAACAATAAAAAAGATTTTTAAACCCCATGCTTTTCTTTAATGACCTTAAGAAACTGTTCTTTCTTGACATAGTTGAAAAATTTCAGTACTATGGGTCTTGATCTCTTGCTTCTGGGATTCCCAACAAAATGTATTCTCTCAACATATTCCTCAGCCAAATGTTGGGAATTCATAATAGAGTTAATCCAGTCCACCACTTGCCATTTCAAATCCATTTCTTTCTTGTGTTCAAAATTCATATTATTGCGTCTCAAATTATCTTCCAGATATTTTTTTTTTTGCAACTAATCTACCATCCGATGTTGCTTTTTTGCTTTGCCTTGGAAGTCTTCCAGTTGTTGTATCCTATCCTCTGTTTTCCCTAGGCTTCCCATGGTTTATTTCTGAACAGCATCCATCCACTGTATCAGTGATGGTGAACCTATGGTACATGTGCCACAGCTGGCACGTGGAAATCTCTCCCTGGGCACACAAGCAGAGCACTACCCACCCACCCACCTCCCGCAGCTGAACCTCAAACTGCATGATTGTAAACCACCTATCCCTGCTACCTCCCTTGGTTGCAGCACTTGTAAATCAGTTCTTTTAGAGATTGGAGATAAGGCTGCTTTATTGTTTACTGCTATAGAACAGCCCAGGCCTGTCAATCCAGCTTGTGAATTACTACTTCCGCCGGAGGTGACTGCAAGCAGGAGGGAAAGCTCAAATTAAGGCAGGAAGGTGCAAGAGAGGGATGGGTGGATTCATCGGCTTGTTTAAATGTAATGAGAGGAAACAGGGACATACTGAACTGATGCAAATGATTGCTGAAAATTTAGGGAGGGAGGGAGGGAGGTTGTGTGTGAGAGAAACTGACTCTCATAAAACCATGAAAAAGGAACCTTCCAAAGTGTTTGTGTGTGTGTATGTGTGTGTGTGTGTGTGTGAGAGAGAGACTTGACTCATTAAAACAGAATTAAAAAGGCATCAAAAGCTAATCACAATTGGTGGATTGCATTGCGTTCAAAAGTACCCAGTAAAGGATTTTGGTAAGATTGTATTATGGTACACACTTGTTTTTTTTTTTCTGGCCCACCTTACAAATTGTTTTCAGAGTGGGAGGTGGAAGTAATTTTAAAGCATTTTCCGTATAGTTCTAGTTTAAATCCAAAATATGCCCCTGCAATGTCTTTTTCTGGTAAGTAGGGAAATTAAGAAAAGAAGCTTAAACATGTTTGTCTTAAAACAGCCTTTAATGAAAAGATTTTTCTGCCCTCTGCACCATTTGAAATATTTAAATATCTAATACTTTATTATGTGATTATTTGTCATTATATTTTATGATGTTTTATATGTTGAATTTATTTTATACTTGTAATTATGTTTTTGTTTGATGGAGCTCTGAAATCCTGTGATGTAACATTTCTAAAATGCAATGCTATCCGTGTTTATAAGTCGCTTGTAGTTAATGGTGCTTATTCCCAGGGTATTTATAGGAAGACAGGTTTGATAAATGATAATTCACTAATCTTTCTGATTTTTAACGATGAATTCGCTTAGCGATGACTTTTTTAGAGCGTTTTTGTGCTCTGTTTAATGATGGTCCCTATGGGTGATTTTCGCTTAGCGATGTTGGGACCATGCTTCGCATAACGATTAAATTTTTGGGTCCCCTGTTTCGCTTAACGCTGGTTTAAACAGCCTCATGTTTCCTGCTTTTTAAATGTTATAAAGTTAAAGTTTATTGTTTAAAATGTTTGAAATCATAAAGTGCACTTAATAAACCCTTTGTGAACCAAATTTGACTTTGTTCTGACTCTTTTTAAATTTGTTGTTGAATTCCCCCCCCCCATTGAGATGCACTGAATAGGTTTCAATGCATTTCAATTGGGGAACTGCGTTTCGCTTAGAGATGTTTCCTATGGCGATTTTCGCTTAAGTATGGCAATTCGTTCCTATTGGAACGGATTATCCAGTTTTCAATGCATTTCAATGGGAAACCGCGTTTCGCTTAGCGATGTTTTCACTTAGCGATGAATTTTTTGGAACCAATTAAAATCGTTAACCAAGGCACCACTGTATTTCAAGATTCTGTTTAGATTCTAAATTGAATTGGGCAGAACTGGAATAGTTAGCAGAGTCTTACTAACAGCAAACACCTAGTAAAAGACAACCAGCACACCTGAGACTAGATTTCTGAAGTGTGTAGAAATCACATTTCTCAGTTTCTCATCCCCAAAGCAGGCAAAAGTATCATAGTTTATTCCCCAAATCTGAATCTCAGTCTCTTTGCTCCAGGTCCTGCTTTGACTGCAACGCCAAACAGAAGGTCTTACAAACAAAAGACTGTGACTTTCTTTATTGAGTCAATCCATCTCATGTGCAGTCTTCCTCTTTTCCTACTGCATTGCACTTTTTCTTACATTGCTGCTTTTTCCAGTGAGCTTGTCTTCTCATGATGCCACTGTAGTACAATACCCTTTGCTTGGTTATTTTAGCCTCTAGTGAAAGTCCACACTTAATTTGCTTTACTTATCTTTCTGACAAGTCATGATATCTGTAAATCTCTTTTCCAACACTACATTTCAAATAAGTGAAATGTGTGTATACACTTTATGTAGTGTATAAAATGTAGGGATACACTTTAAAAAATTGCACTATATATAGCTGCTTTTCTGAGGGTAGCTTACTTTGGAGGAAACAAGTTCAGGATTTCAATGTACTTAAGCTTTATAAATAGGGTGCATTTAATTCAGTTTAGCATTTTGCACTTGACTATTTTCTAAAAGAGCTGTCAGCTGGAGGAATCAATAAAGAGCCAGACAGACAAAATGTGTAAATGACATGAGTTGTTTTTTTCTAAACGAAAACCTCAGTATTCAGGTTTAATTGCAGTGTTGGCACTTTGAAATAAATAATTTGGTTTTGTGTTGCCATTTGGGCACTTGGGCTCAAAAAGGTTCACCATCACTGCACTGTATCATTTGCCAAATTTACTCTTCTGGCACAACTAATTCCACACATATTTTTTTATTATTATTGCTAAAGCAAGTCATGTAATGGGTATCTCTTTATGTCAGTTCAAAGCAGTGTTACATTATGAAAACACACATTTTGGGTACGTTAGAAGGTCGTATAACTGTGTTTGCATTTTTGCACATTCTTAAATCACCTTGAAGATTATACACTTAAAAGTGGGACAGAACCCTTCTAAATAAATACAATAAATAATAAGTAGCAACAAGTAGAACACAGATATAATTTTATATTTTTATAGTACATCAATCAATTAGTATTATGTAAACAAAGCTATCCTAGATTTTTACAAAAAAGGCAGATTAACTATAATAGCTTTCAGAAGAGCAAAGAAAACAATATAATGTAATCAGTTAATGTGCTAATTTATAGTAACACTTTACCTCCAGCATGTAATATTATTTATTCATCCCTCGATAACTGGTAAACATTCATTGTATTTTAATATGTTCTCATTAGCACAATTCACTCTTGGAAAATATCAGTAACATTTTATTCCCAAAAATTTACTAGCTAGAACAATGGCTTCTCTGACAACTGCAGAATAAGGGGACAATGTTAAATGAAACACAATGGGTTTTCTTTGTTTTTTCAGGTACATTAAGTGTCCAATTAATTGAACTCACTGTTCTGCAAAGTGCAACTATCCAGTTAGAGAACAGCAATTGATTATTTATGACAATCTGCATTATATTTTCCAGAGAGAAGCCAAGAGCCACCATCAGCATGCATCTCTCATCTTTTTTGGCTGAGCTGCCTGGCAGGTACTGGGAGGGATGAACACAGATGGGTCACTTATCCCAAGTTTTAGATCAAAGAAACGGGTGGAGGTTGTCACACTGTAGTTCTTGCTGTAGGTTTCCTGAACTGGGTAACAGTCCTTGACTGTGTAAACGCCCACCCAGGTTTCAACTGTAATAAAACACAAAATATTACTGCTTGTGTGGGAAAAGCATGAGAAGTTTAATTATGCTTGCAAACATAAATACATATTCATTTCTCAAGGATTAAATAGCTTCCACTGGTTTCAGTGGGACTGTTTTCTAGTAAGTGATTTGAGAAGTACAATCTGAATAGAGATAGATACTAAATTTAAATTTAAGGACGTGATCCTACTGAACAATGACAGAGCAAAATGTCCTATCAGTGTCCTAACACAGGATTATGCAGCTTTGTCAGTGCACAAGCCCTGATCATTGGCTCCCTCTGAGGAAATGTGACCTAGAATCACTCAAGGTCCCCAATGCTGCTGTGCATGAGTTAAAATGTGATACCGTTGGTTCACTATGGGTTTGCTGCATGACACAATCGAATACTGACCAGTGGGGCTCATCTTAAATTCAGTGTTAATATAGCTCTTGTTAGGGTCAGATCACACATTAAGGGAAATGCATATTTCCTCCTGTTAAAGCATCACATCTTCAGGCTTGCAAATATTTTATAGGTACATGCCTGAGATATAAAGTATGTAAAAAAAAAACACCTGCTGACCAGAATATTATTTGGCATTTATCCTGGCATAAGTGGAATAGCAACAATTTTGGTGGTGACTTGCTGTACAACCATTCACAAGATGCCAAAAGCACCACTAGTTGTTTGCCAACCATTTGACTTCCTGTACAATTGAGAATGCAGGCAGCAACTCACAATACATAGAAATATACCAAAATGACTTTTGCAATTACACTTAATCCAGAATAAAAACCCCAAATCAAGCTAGTTTTCTAATAGCAAAGTCTCTTCCTCCTATGTGTGCCTTGCTTTTAGATGCAGAATTGAATTCTCATCTCGTAAAGGTCTTAGATCAACTGAGGACACTCATTTAAGACACTTAATCTGCTTTAGTAGGACCAGGAAACCTGTGATCTTTCAGATATTATTCTAATGCTCATCACCCCTTCACGGATTGCTGCCTTGTCCTGGTGAAGAGGCTTGAGTAATTCAGAGAAGCTATGGGCTATGCCGTGCAGGAGCAGCCAAGATGGACAGGTCACAGTGGAGAGTTCCGACTAAACACGATGCACCTGGAGCAGGAACTGGCAAGCCACTCCAGTATCTTTGCCAAGAAAACTCCATGGACAGTAACAAAAGGCTAAAAGATATGATGCTGGAAGATGAGCTCCTAAGGTCGGAAGGCATCCAACATGCTACTGAGGAAGAGCAGAGGACAAGTACAAGTAAGTCCAGAGCTAATGAAGTGGTGGGGCCAAAGCCGAAAGGACGCTCAGCTGTGGACGTGCCTGGGAGTAAAAGGAAAGTCCAATGCTGCAAAGAAGAATACTGCACAGGAACCTGGAATGTAAGATCTATGAACCTTGGTAAGTTGGATGTGGTCAAACAGGGGATGGCAAGAAGAAACATTGACATCCTGGGTGTCAGCGAACTAAAATGGAGGGGAATGGGCAAATTCAATTCAGACGATTGTCACATCTACTACTGTGGGCACGAATCCCATAGAAGAAATGGAGTAGCCCTCATTGTCAATAAAAGAGTGGGAAAAGCTGTACTGGAATACAATCACAAAAATTATAGAATGATTTCAATATGAATCCAAGGCAGTCCTTTCAACATCACAGTAATCCAAGTTTAGGCAGCAACCACCGATGTTGAAGAGGCTGAAACTGACGAATTCTATGAAGACTTACAACACCTTCTAGAACTGACAGCAAAGAAAGATGTGCTTCTCATTATAGGGGACTGGAATGCTAAAGTAGGGATTCAAGAGATAAAAGGAACAAGAGGGAAGTTTGGCCTTGAAGTTCAAAACGAAGCAGGGCAAAGGCTAATAGAGTTTTTTCAAGAGAACAAGATGGTCATCTCAAACACTCTTTTCCAACAACACAAGAGGCGACTCTACACATGGAAATCACCAGATGGCCATACCAAAATCAGATTGATTGTGTTCTCTACAGCCAAAGATGGAGAAGCTCTATACAGTCAACAAAAACAAGACCTGGAGCTGATTGTGGCTCTGATCATCAGCTTCTTATAGCAAAATTCAAGCTTAAATGGAAGAAAGTAGGAAAAACCACTGGGCTAGTCAGGAATAATTTAAACCAAATCCCTTATGAATATACAGTGGAAGTGAAGAACAGATTTAAGAAACTAGATTTGGTGGACAGGGTGCCTGAAGAACTATGGATGGGGGCTCGTAACATTGTACAGGAGACAGCAACAAAAATGATACCAAAGAAAAACAAAATGCAAGAAAGCAAAGTGGCTGTCCAACGAGGCCTTACAAATAGCAGAGAAGAGAAGGGAAACAAAATACAAGGGAGATAGGGAAAGTTACAGAAAATAAAATGCTGACTTCCAAAGAACAGCAAGTAGAGACAAGAGGGTCTTCTTAAACGAACAGTGCAAAGAAATAGAGGAAAATAATAGAAAGGGAAAAAACAGAGATCTGTTCAAGAAAATTGGAGATATTAAAGGAACATGATAAAGGACAAAAATGGTAGGGCCTCACAGAAGCAGAAGACTCCAAGAAGAGATGGCAAGAATACACAGAGGAATTATACCAGAAAGATCTGGATGTCCTGGACAACCCAGATAGTGTGGTTGCTGACCTTGAGCCAGGCATCCTGGAGAGTGAATAAGTGGGCCTTAGAAAGCATGGCTAACAACAAGGCCAGTGGAGGTGATGGCATTCTAGTTGAACTATTTAAAATCTTAAAAGATGACACTGTTAAGGTGCTACACTCTATATGGCAGCAAGTTTGGAAAACTCAGCAGTGGCCAGAGGATTTCAAAAGATCAGTCTACATCCCAATCCCAAAGGAGGGCAGTGCCAAAGAATGCTCCAACTACTTACAATTTCACTCATTTCACATGCTAGCAAGGTTATGCTCAAAATCCTACAAGGTAGGCTTCAGCAGTATGTGGACCGAGAACTCCCAGAAGTACAAGCTGGATTTCGAAGGGGCAGATGAACTAGAGACCAAATTGCTAACATGCACTGGATTATGGAGAAAGTCAGAGAGTTCCAGAAAAATATCTACTTCTGCTTCATTGACTACACAAGAGCCTTTAACTGTGTGGTCCACAACAAACTAATGTGGGATAGGAAGCAACACTTAAAACTGGATATGGAACAAGTGATTAGTTCAAAATTGGGAAAGGAGTATGTCAAGGCTGTATATTGTCTCCCTGATTATTTAACTTATGTTCAGAATACATCATGCCAAAGGCTGGACCGGATGAAACCCGAGCCGGAATAAAGATTGCTGAAAGAAATATCAGCAACCTGTTGTTGTATTGTAATGCAGATGATACCACTCTGATGGCAGAAGGTGAGGAGGAATTAAAGAACTGAGGGTGAAAGAGGAGAGCGCAAAAAATGGTCTGAAGCTCAACATAAAAAAACTAAGATCATGGCCACTGGTCCCATCACCTCCTGGCAAATAGAAGATATGGAGGCAGTGACAGAGTTTACTTTCTTGGGCTCCATGATCACTGCAGATGGTGACAGCAGTCACGAAATTAAAAGATGCCTGCTTCTTGGGAGGAAAGAGAAGACAAACCTAGACAGCATCTTAAAAAGCAGAGACATCGTCTTGCCGACAAAGGTCTGCATAGTCAAAGCTATGTTTTTTTTTCAATAGTGATGTATGGAAGTGAGAGTTGGACCATAAAGAACTGATGCTTTTGAATTGTGGTGCTGGAGAAGATTCTTGAGAGTCCCCTGGACTGCAAGGAGACCAAACTTATCCGTTCTGAAGGAAATCAACCTTGAGTGCTCACTGGAAGGACAGATCCTGAAGCTGAGGGTGCAGTATTTTGGCCATCTCATGAGAAGACTCCCTGGAAAAGACCCTGATGTTGGGAAAGAGTGAAGGCAAGAGGAGAAGGGGACGACAGAGATGAGATGATTGGACAGTGTCTTCGAAGCTACCAACATGAGTTTGACCAAACTCTGGGAGACAGCGGAAGACAGGAGGGCCTGGCATGCTCTGGTCCATGGGGTCACGAAGAGTCAGACACGACTTAACGACTAAACAACAACAAGAACACGTGTCTTTGAAGCTACCAACATGAGTTTGACCAAACTCTGGGAGGCAGCGGAAGACAGGAGGGCCTGGCGTGCTCTGGTCCATGGGGTCATGAAGAGTCAGACACGACTTAACGACTAAACAACAACAAGAACAAATGCTCATCAGCCTCGACTAGTGTAGCTAATAAGGAAGGGTAATGGGGACAATTCATCAACATCTGAAGGGTCATAGTTTTTCCATTTGAGATAAAGCAATGGGAAGTTGGCAATTATGTCGCTCTGGTACTGTAAGAACATTACAAATTGCTTTGTTTAAAATATGGATTCTAGAGGTGTCTGGATCCACAATACACTCAACAGAGTCCACATATTTCAGTGGATCAATTAGTACCTGGGCCTATACTAAACTCTTCTTCAGAGTTAGACAATGAGACCAGCTACAAAACCTGGTGGGGAGTCACACTGATAGTTACCTGTCCATAGACATTTACTGGCCACTTTTGTTGACACGGAAATAGCTATTCAAATATAACATTCTGAAGTCATTGATGACATCACAAACATGATATTATCCAAGTCTTGGGAAAGTGAGAGACAGTTAACCCGGACAAGACGGAGGTCTTGGGGGTGGTGGTCCTTCCATCAGCGGCGTGGGTGACTCCCTCTCTTTTGGGGGGTCGACCCTCACCGCAAAGAGTGAGGTTCGCAGCTTGGGGATACACCTGGACCCGGCGCTTACCATGGAAACCCAGGTAGTGTCTGTGGTCCATTCTGCCTATTTTCACCTGTGGCGGATTGCCCAGCTGCGACCATATCTTGATGGGGGGCCCTCACTAGTCTTGTCCATGCGGTCATAATCTCGAGATTAGACCACTGTAATGCATTCTACGTGGGGCTGCCTTTGGGATTGATGCGGAAACTTCAAATGGTGCAAAATGCAGCAACCAGGCTCCTTAGTGAGGTGAGGAAATATCAACATATCTCCCCCACCCTGGCTGCTCTGCATTGGTTGCCCATTCATTTCCGCATTGATTTCAAAGTTTTAATGATGACGTATAAAGCCCTAAATGGTTTGGGACCTCGATACTTGGCAGATCGCCTTCTCCCACCCGACACAGCCAGCAGGGACAGCTGAGGGGCCTTACGCCAAGGGAGGCCCGGAAGGAAAGAACAAGAAACCGGGCCTTCTCAGCAGTGGCCCCTCGGCTGTGGAATAATCTACCAACAGAAATCCGCCTGGCTCCCTCGCTGAGTGTTTTTTTAAAAAAAATTAAAAACTTGGTTCTTAGGCAGGCCTTCCCTCCAGTTAATTAGCTGTTTCGTTTCTTTAATTTCCCATCTTGATTATGTATATATCCACTAGTTAGTTGCTTGTATTATTAACTTTTAATAACTATATTATTCTATTGTATTTTAACATTTTTTGTAAGCAGCCCCGAGTAGACTTTGTCTAGAGGGATGGGGTATAAATCTAAATAAAGTATAAAGTTAAGAGTCAAACAGAGGGTTAACATTGTTAAGATGGATATTCCTGACACGTTACATTATCTTTTAATATAGTTATGTTCCTTTCATGATAAGGGGACATTTTTGAAATAATCTGCAAAGGAAGTTCACATGGTTCTTATCTGAACTTCTACAGAAAACTAGAACTTAACCAAGTGCTTCAGTCAAGCTTTTTTGGTCAATGATGGTGTATGTGAAGTGCAGATACCTGAAGATGGGTTTAGGAGAACCTCAGAAAATATTTAGTGGGATGGGAACTGCAGCCTGGTGCTTATCTGAATTTTATGAAGAAACCAGGGTGGATTAAAATTAATTATCTAAAGAAAAAAAATCCTCAAAATAACATTTAAAGTTTAAATCAATTGTTTTTCATTTTAATCAAATCTATTTTAATGAAATGCTTTTGAGGAAAAAAATTATCTGAATATAGTTTTCTATTTAAATACATTATAGTTCAAAGGTTATTCAGCATGAAATAGAGCTTGGTTATTTAATATGATGCTGTATATTCATGCAATATTTACATTTTGGTAAACTAATTCAACTAATCCAAGTTATCCATGCTGAGATAACATGCACTTTTTCACAGTAAAAATGGTATAAAATTTAAAAAGGGACAAGCATTAAAATGAAGTGAAACCTTCTCAGCAGCTTACAAACCTTGGGACCTTTGTGCACATAGCTTGCAGTTCTTTATTCCTTCCCATGAGGAGCAAAATGGCAGCAGGCCATAAAAGAGACCCAGTCTGGTTGCAAATATTAAAGATTATAACTACTAGCAATAATGAGTCTTTACATTTAAAAATGATTTAAATCAAGTCTTACTAATAATATAAATCACTATTTAAATCGTGATTTAAATCGACTTTAAATCAAATGCACCCTGGAAGAAACCAAGAATTTTTAAATTTTGCGTCAGGATGCAACATGCCTTTGTGCCTTGTAAACTGAAGGGACGTGCAAAGTGGCAAATCCTCTTGACACTTTCCGTACAGTTCCTTGAAACTTGCCCTACCACCAAAAAGCAGTCTTAACCCCCCCCCTTTTAATGGGAGATTAAAGGTTCTGCAAAGGTCGGAGCAATTTATGTGGGATTATTTGCTTTTAAGTTAAAATCTTGAACCATTCTGACAAAAAAAAGCAGAAAGCCAAGATGTATATATATAAATTGTTGCCAGTTATTTCTTAGTTGAAAAGGGAACACAAACACAGTAGTAATTTCTGTACGTGCTTTCAAGTAATACCATTAATATAGGTACAACAGAAAAAAAACCTTTATGGTCTAGAGGTCAAGAAATAATTTTTAAAAAGCAAACAAATTAATACTTACGTTTTCTAGCTCGCTTCCTGTCAGACCATTCTTGTACTATAATCTGATCACCAGGTCCTCCAATGTAGTATTGATCTTCATAGGTTGAGTTAGCAGGAATATCATAAGGATCCCACGGCTCGCTCAAAGCTGTCTTGGAACATAGCTTTGTCACTTGCTCAATCTGAAACATCACTGCCTCTTTATAGAGGTATATATATTCAAAGAATCTGAAAAAAAATGGACAAGAATGGAATTAATATCCATTCTTGTTTTCTACACAACATCAGGAGACATATAGAGCATATCTGTCTCATAGACTCTGGCTAAATTGAGGAACCTTTTCAACTTAGTTACAAAACTAAGAGCTTCAAATGGATCTCAGCTCTGTCACCGAATTACATTTTTAGGATTTCTTGGGTGAATCCACAACCGGATATGAAACTGGTATAAAACTGCTATACATTTCTGTTGTGGTTATACCTCAATTTTTTTTTCTTTACCACATCCCTCTGCTCAATTTTTCCATCTGCGGACTGCATAACTTGGGCACTGTGGTCAGAAAATTGCAGAGTGCAGGCTATGATGTAAATGTACATCCTTTAATATTTGGCTGTCAAGATTACAGTAAAATATAGGCACACATTAAAAATCAAGGTCTGGTCATGTCGTAAGTCAGTCATAAAGCCATCTATGCCTTATGCATAATATGATGATAGACTTAGGTGGGTTAAATACTAAACTGCACCATTTCAGATTATATATGTGTGCTGTATTTCTAGATGCTCCCTCTCCATGTAAAAAAAGCTGTCTCCATGTACAAAACTAGCATATAAGGGAGAAGCCTATATTATGTCTCCCTCTGTTGCACAGGGACTTAACATTCCCAACTCTGGATTTCCTTCATGAGGCTAACGCAGGGTTTGGGGGTCGAGTCAGATGTGAACAGTGGTGCTTAACATATTCTGTGCCGCATCAAGACTATTTTTTAACTTCTCTCTTCCACTTTCACTCCAAAATCAGAAGATTCTCTGCTAGTGAAGAACAATGCCTATAGGGCACTTACACGAGAGCTTGAGCAAAGGAATTAAACATATCTTATTTTTTGGTAAGTAACCCCATTCCAAGTTACCTTGCTAAACACAGGGTTAGGAAATGCACATTTGCTTGCCAACAGAATGTTTAATTTGGCTGATAGTTGACATATATAGTGTGAGAGTTGTGTTTTAGTTGGGTGGAGACTTAAAGGTGCATCCCCTTTTTACCTACAGTCTCAAGAGGTATGATCCAGAATTCAACTATATCAGTCTACTATATTATGTGCAATTTGTAGATTGGCTAACAGCACAGACTGCTTCACTATGCGAACTCAACCAGACAGAGGCAAAATATATGTTGTAAGACACTGTGGGGTCCTTTGACTTGCAGCCTTGATTTTAACAGCAAATGAAGAACCAAACAATGTTTCCATTACAAATTTAATATGCTAAATATGAGATCTTGAATCACTTTCATCTCTTGCACTCAATATAGTTTTAACCATTCTATTCCAGTCAAATTCAAAGGGAAGCAGAGCATGAAATTCAAAGGGAAGCCGTGCATTTCTGAAAATTCTGTTTGTTTTCTCATTTATATTTGAGATTTCAGACATGTTTCTACTTACAATTATTTTTGTCATACTGGCATCTCAGGACTCACCAAATAAAATAAAATAATAATTTAATATATTGGTCATGCTGGATCACTACTTTGCAACTGCAGTCCTATTAGAAGAAAATATAACAGTATATACTGTATGTTAGCCAAATGTTAAAAGGTTCTCCCTCTGGTATATATATGGTACAAATGCTGTTTCTCAAAGAGCAGCATTAAAATGTTTTACAAAAGTACTCCAGTTTCTAATACAACACATCTACTCGGCTGCCTGCCTAATGTGCCCTCCTAGTCACACCAGGTACTGAAATGCAAAGTTAAATAGTGCCTCCTACAGCAAGTGGAGTACCAAAATGGATCACAATTCAGCCTGCTGTGTTGTGAAAAAAATGACAACTTTCATTGAGGGTATTAATATAAGTAGAGGCTACTCCTTATTGAAACCGTTGAAATGTCCCCTGGAAGGTACTAGATCATACTGCCCATTCTGTACTTGGTGCACTCCTATGAGGAAATAATCCTGCAAAGTTCTGTTTTTTCAGTGAGGAGCTGGGTCTGCATAATCTTCGCAATGAGTTTGTTAAGCACTGGTCACTCCCTGTTTCCTTTGAAAGATCATAGCACTCAGCCATTTTATAGTCCATTTAATGTTATTTGTGAATCTTGATTGTAGTTACCACAGCTCCACCTTTCAGGAACCATTTCGCCCTGAAGACAGCAAAAAACAGAATAGTCTGATAAAATGCATACCACTTACCTCCCAGCATTCAAGCTGAGATGTTCTTGTCAAGCTTCCTCACTAAGATGGGAATGGGCAATGCAGCTGCAATCAGTGTGATTAAAGTTACATCTTTTATTTTATTAGGTTGATTATATTAGCTATATGGTTGATAGTGTAATCTTCTAACTGATGTCAACAGCCTTTACACATTAATGTTCTCTGAACTATATATTCCTTGACTTGGTAGGTGAGACAATAACTATATCTTGAAGTAGTTTTTATTTTAACTCACTCCAAGAGGATTAAAACAATGTTTTTTTTTTCATTTCAAAGAATGGAACACAGCAATTGGGAGTAACAACTTCCAAGAGTTCCAGTATCTACTGACCACAAACAGCCCACAGCTTCCTGAGAATGAAACTGCTTACCAAATGTTTTATCTCTCCCAGAACAGGGAAATACCTCTTCATGTCAAATAGAGATGGGCACGAAACAAACCACGAAGCAACCCCCCCTCCCTGAAATCAGGCCATTCCATGGTTCATTTTGGGGCACTTGGGGAAAATGGGACTACCCAAAACAAAACAAACACTACAAACACTGAACTATTATTGGCACTGGCAATTCATTTGTGGCCTCTAACTTGGGACATCTCAAATCCAATCTTTACAAACTTGGCCTAACTTTTGGGCTGACTCTCTTCGCTACCCCCTCTTATGTTTGGCAACATTTGAGTTATAGTGCCCTGTGAAGATGAACCAGTGCAAGTGGCTGAACCTAGAAGTGAGACGTACCCTCACTCGTCTAAGGCTGAAGGATTCAGCACCGTCTTTACTTTATTGTCTTCCATGATCTAGAGGCCATCAATGGTGAACGTATGGCATGCATGCCACAGCTGGCATGTGTAGCCCTTTCTGCCAGCAGGCGAGCCATAAGTCGCCACATCGCTACTCCGCCCCCCACGCAGTCAAACCTGAGAAGGCGCCTGCAACTGCGGTGCTGGTGCTTCGGCAGGCAGATCCGGAGCAACTGGTGCTGGCAGCAGATCCAGATTGGGGTCTCGAGGCACCTCCGTGCCGGGATTCCCCCTTCCACTGCCACTTCCAGTTCTGCCGCCACCACGGCACACCACCCGCTGCCCCCCCCAGTTTGTGCATGCGAGCCCAAAAAGGTTCACCACCACTGATCTAGGCCATGGCGCTGGGAGGAGAAGGCAGGAAGTTAAGATAAAAGGGAAGCGGGTGGAAAAGATCAACCAATAGCAGAGGGTTTCTTGATGACAAGGAAAAGATCAACCAATAGCGGAGGGTTTCTTGATGACAGAGGGAGACATGTTCAGGTTAGGAGATATGAAGAGGGAAAAGAGGAGCTGGGGGTCAGAAAAGTGGGAAAGCCCTGAGATGGGAGGTAGAGAGAAAGATAAGTCACTGTCAGAGGGTGCCAAGGAGCCCTACATGTTCCCCTTTCCCCAAAAGAGAGAGGCAAAGGACAACAGAGAAAGGAAGGTTCAAAGGGGAAAGGAGGGTGCAGGAACCGAAGAGCGGTTGGGGGAGGTAGAACCTTTGGAATGGACTGTATATGTTTATCTGAGACGGAAAAGTCCTTGGAAGAAGGCGGTGCACCTAGATTTGATCCCCACAGGCTTGACACAGCCCAAAGGCAACTGGGGTCAATACCCTTGTTGCAGGACTATTCGCACAGTGAGGAGTCAACCCATGAGGAAACCTACTGATTGTGAGAGGTTTGGAATCGCCCCATGTTAAAAGACTATTTTGAGATGGTGGGGTTGCACAAAACGTGGCCCAATGCATATATGGTTGCTGGTCGCACTGGACCCACTGAAGTTGTTGTTCATAATACAGTTAAAAGGCATTAAACCGTTGTCTAATGTTACACAGTCTCCTGTGATGCCTTTATGTAAAGGGGAGGAACTGCCCATCTTAAAACTAGAACCCACACCCCCAAAGCAGGTCGCTCCAGGAAAGTGCTCTATAGCCATGTGCCAAGGAGCACTTTTCTGGGGGAAATCTGTTTGGGGTGGCTATAATTTGGATGCCACAAATCCAATCTTCACCAAACTTGGTGGGTGTGTGGAAAAGAGACAGCTGAAAGCTCACTGTAGGTTTGACATCTCTACCTGATGAAGGTGCATTCTGCCACTCCCGGAAGTCCTGAATCGCATGAATCATGAAACTGTTCATTTTGTAAGAAAATTTGTGAAAGTTTGTGGGTTGTGAATAGCAACAAACAATGAATCATTTTATTGATACTTACATTTTTCCAGTTTGTGTCCATCTCTAATTTCAAACCAAAAACATTTCATAGCTCCCTTTTAGTTCTTTCCTCACTCAACTGGCTCTACCTGCCTAATACTATCTGACCCCTTTTGCATTAACACCCTGTCAGATAGTTTAACGGTCATCTTCAGTTTTCCAATTCTCCTACTCTCTTCCGTTTAGTTGCTTTTCTACTGAATCGTGATTGGTTGAAATGCATCCCTGGGAAACTGTTTCTTACTTCAACTCTAGGTGGTTTCCTTCACAACAGCCACCCCAGAGCTGTTCAAGAACCATGTTGCTTTAAGAAGAGAGAACTGGCTTTCAAAAGAGGTTTCCCCCCTCCTTTTTAGAAGAAATAGCCATGTTAGTCTATGCTAGCATATCAAGCAAAATCCAAACAAAACATAGACAAAAATATGTGGCACCTTGAAGAGTAACTATTATATTTTAATGTGAGCTTCTGTGAATAAGTCCATGTATCCATGAAAGCTCACATTAAAATATAATAGTCTTTAAGATGCCACATCTTTTTGGCTTTTCTGTTCTGCTCTATGTCTTTGGATTTTGTGTTTTTTTC